TGGACTGAACTGTGGGACATAAAATGATACTCGTGAAGAGTGTGCTTCTTAGCTCAAGTAGATACATGAGACTAAACGGGCAGCTTCTGTCCAGAGGTGATCTGGGAAGGCAGAGAGGGTCAGGAGCTGGTTGAATGGACATGGAAATCAGGGGTGGAAAGGAGGAGTGTGCTGTCACAGTATAGGGAGAGCAATTAGGGTCACATAACACTGTATGTATAGATTTTTGTATGAGACTAACTTGAAATGTAAACTTTCACTTAAACTACAACAATAAACAAAAATAAATAAATGAAAGACGATGGGGACTGCAAATGGATTGGAATATATACTAGAGGTATGGTTTTCAATAAAAATTTCACTCTCCCATTGTTAGCACAGGGCCCTTTCTTGACAACCTTGGGAAGCCTCCACTTTCTGTTAGACTTGCAGAAACTAGGATATTGAGCAATCAGGATAATGGAATCCAGTGCCTCAAACTCAAGGCTAAAACCCTGCTTAGGTCAGTTCTTGCCCATCCATTTCACAGGTCATGCCGGGCAAGATGTGTAAGACAATGTGAAATACTTCCTGAAAACTCAGGTCACAAATAGGAGGAATACCAGCCAGCCACCTTTCGCCTGACTTCACTTGGCTCCAACAGTTATGACATGTAAGTCAGAAGAAGGTGACTTCAGTGTTAGACTTCAAAGAACTTAATAAATACATTACCTGCCTATGTAAACCATTTTCATGCTAAGATTGTCTACACATACAAACATTAGCTTTTTGTAGGGGTGGGGTGGCAAAAGTTGAATCCAGTTCAACAGTTTCCAAGACAACTGGTTGGCAGCAATGGAGTAGCCACTAGTTGTTAAACCTTTTTCCCTTGGGTGCAGAGCCCAAGAGTCCCAGCTGCATACTATGTAGTTAGTACCAGCTGAATAATATTTGGGATAAAGCAGTCACCACTATCACGCGGAAGGACTGGAGAATAGTAGCCATGGCAGCTGGGGCCAAGTGGTCACTGCTAACCCCAGTGTCAGCATGCCTGAAATGTCCCATAGTGGCCACCACTGTCCTTCAGCATGGAGCCCAGCATCCAAAAGTGAGCAAGCAGGTGGACGCCATGCTTCCCCACTTGCCACAGCAGGTCCTTAAGGGTGACTGGGCTGAGTGTCACCCCCAGGGAACCTCTGTGAGTCTGGAAGCCCAAAGAGCTTCTCAGGAAGAAAGGCCATAGCAGGTCACACAGTCATCCTTTGGGGATGCATGGGGACAGTCCAACATCTGCCCCACCAGAAACTGAGGAGCAGGCTTCAGAGCCCCTACAAGCCAGGGAACTGGGATCACTGGGCTGCCAGGTGGGTGGCAGCTGGTGATGTCCACCCAAGAGCCCCAGCCTGCCCTCCCTTCTTCCCACCAACCGCCTCATTCTCAGCTCTCCACGGGAGTGTCCGCCTTCACTCCGAGACGGGCAGAATGTTCTGGCTGTGGGAGTCACCTGTGAGACCCGAGGACCGGATGGAACGTCTGTTGAGGATCCTGTTCAGAATCTCCTTGCAGCTTTTGCGGTATTGGTGGCGCAGCAGTGAGTACACGAAGGGGTCGGAGGCGGCCTTGCTGTAGGCCAAGCACTTGGACAGCACTCCCCAGTGGGAGCCGATGGTCACCGTGGATGACAGCTCCACCAGCCTGTGGAGAGAGGGGAGCCATTACCCAGAGCTCTGCTGGGCACAGGCTGGGGCACCCTTGGACCAGGGCTCCAATCTGCACCCCAGGCCCAGCTGCCTGGCCAAGCATATTTCCTGAGTCTGCCTGCTCTAGTTAACAACAGTAATGACTGTGAACACTGCTCAGGCACTTGTCTTATTCTGGGCAGTGCACTAAGCGTTATACATATGGTCTTGCCAAACCCTGGGAGATACACGTGATTATCTCCACTAAAGAAAAAGAAAAGTTGCTGTCCAGTCGATTCTGACTCATGATGGCCCCATGTGTTACAGAGTAACACTGCTCCATAGGGTCTTCTTGGCTGTAATCTTTACAGAAGCAGATTGCCAGGCCTTTCTTCTGTGGTTCTGCTGAGTGAGTTCAAATTGCTAACCTTTAAGTTAGTGGTCAAGTGCAAACCATCTGCTCCACCCACGGGCCTCTTTACATTTTACATACGAGGAAATAGATGTCTAAGGAGGTTAAATAGTTTGCCCAAGTAAATTGTACAGGCATGATTTGAACCCAGGTCTGTCTGACTCTAGAACTGAAGCTCATCTGAGAAATGGGTTA